CTAAAAAATACTAGCCACATTTTTTATAACGTCATTGGTTCAAGAGAAATTCAGCCGGACCGTCTAAAAAGGACACCCTGTATAATACTGCAATCAGACTAAAATATGTTCCCAGCAGCTGTAAAGTTGCAGAAATCATCAAGACACAAAAACTTAAAAAAAACCCAAACGAGATCATATCGTACAGAACCTACTACTACCGAAAATATCTAAGCTTTCCGAAAAGATATTACTAAAAGAGAGCAAAACTCACGTTATACAAAAAACTATCTCAGACCTTTGGATTTTGATCAAAACATTTAACAATAGGTCACATTCACAGACACCAAATTTCACAGACAAGGTATTAAGTACTTATCAATACACTAAGAGAAATGTTGCTAAAGCAGTACGAAGATATTATTTATGTATTAACACACAGAGTCAAACAAGAAAAGGACAAGAGAATATAGAAGGGCCAATACTTTACTTTATATACAGGGTGTCCAGTGAGCAGAGGTCAATACTTTAGCAGATTATCTTACGTGACAAGTCGAACTAAAACGGCCCTATTGTCCAGTTTGATTCTCAATAGCATTCAAGTATTTCACTTTTCAGGTTACAACAACCTTTCATAACTTTATTCCAAAAAAGTTCGCTGTAATGTTTAGTTTACCATAAAATAAAAAATCACACAAAAGTATTAATGCTCTTTCCATTGGCGTAATCAAATTTACAGTAAGACTAACAGTTATTAGATACTTCGGAGTTGTTGGAAAAAAGTTGTTAAAGGTTGAAGTATCCTGAAAAACGAAATATCTCGAACACAATTGAGAATCAGACTGGACAAAAGATAATTTTTAGTCCAATTTGATATGTAGAATAGCTTCGTGAAGTATTGACCTCTGTTCACAGCATACCATGTATATGTACCAGTGATTTGATGGCAGTTTCTTCCTCCTCATTGCATTACGTACAAAAGGGGTTCATTGCTGAAAATATCCACGTTTTGTAGGTGTTTTCTCAGATGCCAGTGGCCGATATATATCTCTATCCCTTTTAATCACTGTGTAAATGGTACCTGGATAGAACCAAGAATGTACCCCTGTGGGGCGCCAGCTAAATTATATCTGTCTGATATCTGAGTACCGTTGCCACATTTTACTCTTAAGCGACGGTCAGTTGAATATGATTCCAGGATAAGATAATAAATAAGTGGTTAAAAAAGCGTTGATGTTTATACTTTTTAAGTTTAATATTTGTTCTCTGTAGTGGAGAAAATAGTGTCGATGAATCTGAAACCACGGTGCACGGTAGGAAGGCCATATTGAAAATATTAAGTTTGAAAATTTTCACCTTTAACATGTTCTAAATTTGACATGTCTCTGCCAAATTCTTAGGGAAATATTTATCTGTTGGGCTTTCACAAAGTAACACGGGTGCAGCCGATTTTAGGGGAATTTGCAGGGCGTGTTAACGGACAATTGTTCATTTAATATGCTAAGTGCTGCCTATTTCAGTTGATCAGATAGGATGATATAAAAGAAAAGACATTTTGAAGACCCCCCCTTAAACCCTCAGTGTAATATTCTATACTGAAGATTTTAGATTTTGGGGTGGGGTCATACGAGGCCGAGGACTATTGTAGGCCGTTCTGTTTACCGGTTATTATTATAATTTTATTATATTTTCTTGGTTGCAACGGTGTCCTCATCTTCACGGTTCTTAGATTACTTTAAGACCAAAAACATTTTTTCTATATTGAATAATATTATTTTGAAACGAGATGAATTTATCTAATTATCCATGCTTGTTAAATAAATATTAACAGGTTTTTTTTTCTACACGATAACTGTATTCGAACGTTTTATTTGAAATATAAAATATTATTTAAGGGAAGATTGTGATGTGTAAAACTGTAGGGATCGTCAAGTCTTTATTTGGATCAGGGGATGTTGGATTATCCGTTCAAGCCTCTGAAGATGACGGTAAGCCGTAAGGCGATTGACTCGGGGGTGGAGGTAGAACGGCGAAAATAGGCCCGAGTCGATTAGTTTTGTGTAAACTGTCGTTAAAAGTAAACCATGTGCAAAAGTTTACGAATCGTTTTTTTCAATCAATCTTAAAAATAAGTCGTGTTCATTTTTTCATACGAAATTTTTATATTTTAAATCGATTAGTTTAAAAAAAAAATAAAGTTGATTTTTTATGTCATAAATTATTACAAGACTCCACCATTCTTTCCCCCATAAAATAAAGTTAAATAATATATATTATAATAAATTTCAATATAATAAACATCATTTATTATAAAGAGGTCTCCCCTTCATCCACCCTAGTTTTATCTTTTTAAAAGAACCCCTCCTGACCAGAAAGGGTTCATGACCCATACAGGACCCCAGGGGCATTATATCCAGCTGAGGTTACAAATATATGTATACAGGAGGATATTAGAATAATGTTGTCGCTATATCGCCTGTCTCTTCTTGTTCAGGGTACGGATACATTGTTCATACGTGCTTTATAGCCCGCAGCCCCCAAAGCGCACACCCATGAATTTCTCGTATCATTGTCCATCTATTACGAATTTCCTTTTACATTGTAATTCCCTAAAAATTAACTCGATTCAAGGTGGGAATTAATTATTTAAAATCTGTTTTGGGGAAATTAATTAGCCACTAAGTGCCGTGGAGTAATTTATCCGTTTTAACTAGCATTTATTTTTAATATTTGCAATGTTTTATGACACGCTGACAGTAGTTTGAATTAAATTAATCGCGGCCGGTCCGCAAGTTCTCGCTGTTGATTGTTCTCGGGTGTTTTCGTATTATCGCTGATGACCTGATTTATGGTGCAATCCGTATATACTTTTATACTTTCTCAAAATGTCTTTGGTTTCATTTTCCATCAGTGTATTTATATGCTAAATAAATTATTTTCATACAAATTTCCTTTTCAAGAGAGTGTACGTTTTATGAAAGTAACAAAAGGTTAAATGTTTACTTATTTAAACAATTTTTCAAAGTCCATTAATTGTCCAAAAAAGTGGCCAAAGATTGCCAATTGTATGTACCATTTTCTCAAAATCTGTTGTTTTTACTGCATACAATCTTTTTTATATTATTTGCCTTCGTGTACAATCACGAACACTGGATCAAGGTATGGTCTTTAAGAAGGAAGCATATTCAGTTGTTACTGCCGAGCTTTCGACCTGCTTTAAGGTCATCATCAGGGCAAACAATCTTAAATATGTCTACAGATAGAAAAGACGCCGGTCAAAGAAGCCGACGCCTTATACAAAATGTCTTTTCTATACCGACATCCTTCCCCACCCCTTTAAAATCGTATATAAACACAAAATAGCAAAATCTCACTGGCACTCTCGACACGACACGCAAGAATGGCACAATTACACAGAAGACAAACACTTTGAATGAGTAGAAATACTTTGATTGAATATATAAAAAAAATATATTTTGCATTGTATAAATTCACTATTCCACATCCAAAATGTAATTGTTATATGTAAACAATGTTTGTAAATCCCAGGCCCTGAAGATGATCTCAATAAAGATCGAAACGTTGGCACGATAAAGAAAATGTTTTTCTGAAACCTACATCATACCAGACCGCATCTCACGATTTCTAAATAAATATCGATTAACGGTCACTAATCACCACACGATACTACTAATAATGAAAATTTCGAAAAAAAAAAAACCTTTCAACTGCTGTCATATTTTTAAAACACCAAATATTATACTTCTACTTACTACTTAGTACTTCTAATACCATTTCTAGAATATGTTTTGGATTTAAATAATGGAATATTTTTGTGTCGTATCGATCCAGCACAGTTCGGAGGTGAGGTAGGAAATTGCTACTAAACAACCAATTTAACAGACTGTCATCCTCAGCTGCCCAACAGTTCGTTATTATATATAGTATATTTAAACGTTTTTTTCATATGTTTGTTTTTAAATATGTCAATCCGTAGACATATTTAAACTTTTTGGTTAAAAAGGTTGGCAGTAATACTGAATTTGCTTTCTTCTTCGCGACCATACCTTGATCCAATGTTCGCGAATGAAATAATGATCGATATTTCTAATACTGAAAACAAAAACTTAGTAGACCATATTCACACATCCCCTCTACCCTACTTACATCCTTTGCAGACGACACAGCCGTGCTTTTATCAGATCCCGTACTTGCAATCTTATCCAAGGAGCACCAGGCACACATCCAACGTATAGCCGAATTGACCAAACTTTGGAGGGTAAAAATTAATGAAAACAAATGCACCCATGCTACATCTCAGAAGCAAAACCCCCTCTCGCAATATTCCTCAAAAACAGTCCTGTTCAACAATACCCAACAACCGTGTAACTTGGGTTCTATCTTGACACATGCTTAACCTAGAACCGACACATCCAAATAAAAAGACATGAACTAAACAGATGCTTCGTATTACTCTGCAAACAACTAGGACGGAAATCTAAAACAATGTCGACAAAAAACATACACTCTACCAAACATTACCAACCAAACAGGCCATGTGTATTAGAACTGTGGGCATCGCTAAACCTACCAATGTCCAACGATTTCAGTCCTTCTAAACCAAAGTCCAGAATCATAGTCAAGGCATAGTCATTACAATGTTTCCAATACCACCTCCACAACGACCTCAAAATGCCGTTTGTAAATAACCCTCACGAAATTTTTTAAGTTCCATGATAAACTCTCCATTCTCCTCAACTCACTAGCCAAATCCCTGTCCAACATAATCCTTCCCTATAATCCCGTCAGACGACTAAATGACGATGGCCCCGATACATCCTGTCCAAGGACCCTTGCGTAAAGTTAAGAGAACAATGGTTGCTAAAACTCCATAAGGCATAGTGAAATGTAAATATGTAATATTACATAACATTACAAAATGTATAATTATACAGATGGTAATAAAGATTTTATTTCTTAAAAATATATAAACAATAGCATTTTTTTAAATAGTGAGTCGATCTAGTACATTTTTTTGCATTGCAGGAAAATAGACGTACAAACTAAACACCTTAATTAAATTAGACATAAAAACTGCACTAAAGATAACAAACACACTTGCAGAGCTCTCGAGAATAAAAACCAACCTGCTAGACAAAAATGGCAAATATACAAAAATATGTAACCTTTGAGAAAAACGCCGGTCAGAAGAAAAGTAAATTTCAAACACGATCAAAAAACTATACAAAAATAGAACATTCAGCTGCTAAAGCACAAGTACAATCAAACAAGTAAGCCAAAGGTATATAATTAACCTCGATTATAATAACTAATGATTTCCTCGCTCGTTTTATTACCTCATTTTTATACGATTGTTTTTTTCCTATGTTGCACTCCCAGATGCGATGAAATAACACAACAGTGGGAAAAGTAATTCCGTTGTAGCCTGGAAAAACACTAGTGTACTATAAAGCACAGAAAGGGGTACACAACAGCTCCCAAAGGGCATGGTGTAAACAAACCCCGACATCTATCTAGCAACTTTATTATACTGGCATATTTGTGTGCAAAACGGGATATGTTTACAACAAAATGTGTTGGTTTACTGTACGACAATTAGTATGATTAAGAAATTACATTTTTTTGTTTACAATTAACAGTTTAGTACTTGTTTTTATCATTTTTTGTTTGTTATATCTCCTCTGGCTATTCTGACCATCTGTATTCTGGTCTATAATTTCATCAATTAATCATATTCCAGTTGTTATTTAAAACTGCAAAACCATTACTGGAAAAGGAATAATTTAAAAAAAATTTAATGTCTATCCAAACTGCTCAAAAATGAATAGAGATATTCATTGATTTTAATTTTAATTAAATTAACCGATATATTCTTGTTAGTTGGAAAACAAAATAGAAAATGCAAACCAAAAACAAATAAGTGTTAATCCTCGTTTTTAATAACGGATTTACTTAAGAATTGCAAACATGAAGATTACACATTTTGTAAACCGTTTTGTTCCTCTTTTCCCTATTTTAATCCAGTTGTATTCTCTTTAACCGTGGAAAGGTCTTGGACCAGAAGTTCACGATATTATTGTGAGAATGAGTCAATCAAGGTCGCATGCAAGTGGATATCACAGATGGAGTTTCTCAGAGCTCAGTCTCCCAGGATTTTGCCCGATTTCGAGAGACTGATTGGAAGTGCAATAGGAGACCTGGTAGTGGATTTCACCGCATTACAAGCTAAGGGAGGACAGAAATATTGTCAAGTAATGAACCCTTTCCATAGTACCCACCAGATCTGAATGAAGTACAAGATTTTGGCAAAGGTCTTCATCAACAAAAATGATTCATAATTGTTTATGGGAAGTTGGCCTTACATCGTATGCCCTTTTGAGATGACCTGCAGCAACAGTCCACCACCAACATCTTAGAAGAATATGGTACAGCGAGCGCAAAGGAGAGAAGTATTATAGTTAAATGAACATGACAGACCAAAACAGATCTTAATGATCAGGACGATGAACTCTAGGTTCAACTCTTTGAACACCCGATACACAATATTCATCGAGAAATAGTAATGAAATTTTATTGGTTTTTTTAAAACCAGGTTCGCAACAGTACAGTTCATATCAACACCCTGGGTTTAGTTCTTTATTGGTAAGATTTTGTAGAAATCTTGGAGTTTGTTAAGAAAAATGAAGCAAAACATAAATAAAACTTTTTTTAAATTTATTTCTATTATTTAAAAAACATCAACGAAAATTAAACATCATTGTATAAAAACATTTCTTTCCATCTCATAAATAAAACATTTATGAATTAATGAAGATAAAATGCGATGATTAAACAATGTAGGAACAATTAACAATTAACCTAATAAAAAAATCTTCGTTTTAAGCGCAATAGGTATGAGACATATATATGTACACGTTTTTTTCAACATAGATTTACATGAGGAGATAAGAAAATACTTTCAGACAATATTTTCCTAAATTTTTTTTACATTTTTTCATTTATTTGGTAACTTTTAAATATTTACTTTTACACACAAATATAGAATTGAGAATTACAACGATCGGTAAATAAAAATATGCAAGATTTCAATTGGCTAATAATACATACACCTTAAATATAATTTGTAGGTGTAAAATTGTGTAATTGACTTATCTCGTATGAAAATAGTATTTTTTTATGTACATGTGTTGAGCTACATTTACCAATTCAAGCCGGCGCTCCTCATTTTCTGAATAGCAGAGTAAATCGTTTTTAAAGTAGCCGTTCAGAAAAAATACAAATTTCAACCTAGTACGCCTACTTAAGTGATTTTTGTGATTTCTCAATTTCCAAGTCTGTGCATTACATAAAAATGAAATTTCTTGTTTTTCATACTGTACCAAGTTTTGTTTTTGAACAATTGTCAATTCAATAGTTGCCTTACATCTGTGAATTGCATACAAATGAATTTTCGTATTTTTCATACTGTACAAGATGAACAAGAGTTGCCATACATAGCTATGGTTTAAAACGAAGTAACTGGGTGCTTACTGCAACAATATTTACTTTCTTTGGTTGTTTTTTTTTTTTTTTTTTGTAAATACAGGTTGCATATAAAAACACAAACCCATTCGTTAACTGTAAATTATACTGAAATATAGGAACTTGGTTAATGAGGTATAACTTGTACATGCCACAATGCTATGACATTAAGAGTCTACATTTACCCAAAAGATTCACACAACATGAAAATTACAGCTTTTACATCTGAAAACAAAAATTATCAAAAGATAAATAATTTATCAGGTTGATTGTAAATAATACGATCTGTGTTTTTCTGATATTAAAAAAAAACTATATTATGTACTAGCTTAAAAGTAATGGGGAAAAATCTGTAAGAGGTTCTATTTATAAGGACAATATTCAGTCCATGAGATTTGTTGGAGATGGGCAAGAAGCAACAGTGTCGCAATTTAGTTCTTCTGGAACTGTTTCACTTGAATGTGCACCCCTGCTGGCTTGAAGGCCTGCTTCGCTATTGAAAAAAGAAACCTGCCTAAAAGAAACAGTCATGTATTCTTCAAGCTCCCTTAATATTTCAATGAAGCTGGGCCTGAATTTGGGTTTCCAGCGCCAGCACCAAGCTGTGAGTGATTTAAATGGCTTTGGATAAACAGGAGGAAGTTCGAGCTTGTTGCCGGATATGACAAACTGAAGTACTTGTTCATTTGAAAGTCCCTGGTATGGCTGTGATGCCAAGGTCGCCATTTCCCAAAGAACGATTCCATAAGACCAAGCGTCTGATTTACTCGTGAAGACACCATCGTTGAGTGATTCGGGCGCCATCCACCTTATCGGAAGAAGCCCTTTGTTCCCCTTCCTATAGTAATCTGTTTCGTATATGTCACGTGTCATGCCAAAGTCGCCGATCTTGACGACTCCATTGTCAGAAACCATGCAGTTTCTGGCGGCTAAGTCTCTGTGAACAAATTTAGCTGCTTCTAGATAAGCCATGCCATCGGCTATCTGAGCTGCCATCAGTAACATGCGCTGAGAAGATGGAACGTTTTTGTTTCTACACTCACGGAGGTAGGTTTTTAAGTCTCCATTTGCCATCATCTCCATGACGACGAGTGCAGGCACATCACGTGATACAACACCTATCAGTTTCACTATGTGTGGTCCATCCACAAACTGTTTCATCACCTAAAAATTAAATCAAAATTTTTGTCAATTATTAAATAATGTGTAAAACTTGTTTAAAAATTAATCTCTAATACATTACAAAAACATAGCATAAGTTTGATTTATTTTAACCATCAATGCCACAGGTACAGGTGCATATGGAATATTTTATGTTGTTTTATTAAGTCAGAAGCATTTTTGATATTAAATTCTATGAAAATTTCAGGTATTATAACAAAATTAATCAACAATATATGAAGTCCAATGCAATTTCCATTTTATTTTGTAATTCCTCTCTTGCAGAATTATTAGGTTTTTGAGCAATGAACTCATTGATGTGTTTTGTGCAAACCTCAGTGAAGTAGTTTTTCCCATTATTATAGCTTTTCCGAGCTCAGAAAAAGTGAAATCTAAAGAGGGTTATGTAAGGATAATATGGTGGGTGGGGTAGCATATGTCAGTCTAGCTACAAACTCACATGTGGGTGAGTGTTATTCTCATAGAAAACCATCCCATTGTATTTTTTCATCAATCACTGACTTTCATCACTCCGGTTAGTTAAATGCAGTATACATTAAAATCAATGGTTTGGTTAGCTGAAACGAGCTGATAATAATATATATAATATGATAGGTTATAATATTGATAATAACCTTGCCAATCCAACCAACTCTTATTACATCCTTGTGATTTGGCTTTTGGTTGTTAACAGTAGATCACTGTGTTTTCCATGTAATTTCCTCTCTGAACGTTGTTGCAAAGCATTCACTTTTCATCCCCAGTTATCATTATTTATTGCAATTTAAGAGGGAATGGCAGATGGAGATGCAGTCCAATTCTCAGTCAAGATAAGAGGAACCAATATAGCACTGCTCTCTTTGTGTTGAAACACTTTTATGAGATATTCTAATCTAATGCTTTGTGACATTAAGTATGGTTTAACAAAAGTTTGAATTTGGTCATCATACATCAGTTGAAGGATGACAAGAGTGATATGAGTCTTCCAAATCAAAATTTTCACTTCTGAACGCCATTGAAACCATTTACAGACAGTGCTTTCTCATCATGTCATTATCAGGCAATAATAGAGATCTCAAATAAAACTGACAGCACTGCTCTCCGAGGCCACTTCGTAAGTCACTGAGAATCGAATCATGCTTCAATATTTGAAAATATGGCAAAAAAAAGGTTAAATTTGAATGGTTGTACATTGAAATGAGGAGTTGGTGTCTAAAAGGATGATAGCTCAAGTGGTCAGAGCAGTGGTGTAGTGAGCCAAAGGTCATGGGTTCAAATCCCGCTTGTGACATTAATCCAACCTTAGATAAAAATGATAATTAATTGGCATAATGGCCAATTTGACATTACTTTAAAACACAAGAGGGATAAAATCTAATTATTGAAATACTTCTTTTACAAACCAATATGTGGAATTTGTGGATTCCAAGACAAAATTTCCGCTTCTGAACTGAACTTTCTCCTCTACCAGTCTAAGCTGCAATTTTCCCTTTGCAGTAATATAAAACCTTACATTACAAAAATGCATAATTTTTACAAAAAAACAAGATCTCAAAAGAAACTGATGAATAAAAACACCTTAAATAATCCGTTTTCAAAGTGTAAACAGTAAAGATATACACAATGCTTTAAAGTACAAGAATGGTAAAACACTACAGAGCGATATTCAACCAAATCGTTTTGCGCTACTCAGACGGATTAGGAAGTTTTCATTATCTCTTAACAATTTGTATAAAGACAAAATAAAAACAGACTATTTGACTGTATTCCACTTCATCATTTACTTCAATGATTCATGGAAATTATTAGTCTTATTGACGAGTACAACAATTTTTCATTTAGTTATTTTGTTGTGTTTTGATGATCCGAATAGTCTTCAATGACAGTAATCTTATAAAGCAGATTTTGTAACAGTTTCACCACAATCATTAACTTTCAATTAATTAAGATTTTTAGTTGAGATAAAAAGTCAGTGTCACGAGCAGGATTCGAACCCACAACCCTCGGCCAGCTAACTAGTCTGACCTACTACTAATAAGTCTCAGTTCTTTTATTGCTCAGGTCAATCTTTGTGATTGGGAAATGGAAAGACATTTAGGCCGAGGTAAAGTTTTTAAATATGAAAGTTTTTAGTTGGGATAAAAAATTCAATGTCACGAGCGGGATTCGAACCCACGACCTTCGGCTAAATACACCGCTACTCAACCACTTGAGCTATCATGACTTCGATCCACTCGGTCACTAACCTCCCATCACAACCCCACCTTTTGAATTTTCCCTCCTTTTAGCCATTTTTCAAATGCCGTGTAATTTATTTGATTCTCGGCAACAAATGAAATGGTAACGGAGAGCTTTAGTGAAGATATACTTCATTTTAACTTATTAAATTATTATTTTTATTATTATCTTTATTAATTATTATTATTAATTAATTATTATCTTTCAATTAATTAAGGTTTTAGTTGAGATAAAAGTGGATCAAGGTCACGATAGCTCAAGTGGTAGAGCAGCGACGTATCTAGCCGAAGGTCATGGGTTTGAATCCAGCTCGTGACACTGACTTTTTTATCTCAACTAAAAACCTTAATTAACTGGTCAAGCAGACCATGAAAACTAGTGAACAATCATTAACATTTATACTTGGTGAATCATGCACAATGATGAAACACTTGTCCAAGTTAGGGGAAGTTTGTACTTGACAATGTGTAAATATTCATCACTAAGTATAAAATTCCAATAAAATAATTTTTTTACCATGGCTTCATTAAGAAATGCGGCGATTTCATGAGGAGAGCAATTTTCATTGATTGCTTTTTTAACGGCGACGACTCTCCCTTCTGGAACAAGGAGGCCTTCACAAACAACTCCAAAGTTGCCACGTTTGAGTTCTTTGACTATATGAACTCGTTCCCTTGGTAGCTCCCACTCCTCATCAAAGTGAAGCAGGCCACAGTATTCAGGATTGACAGACGCTATTAGTACAGGCTGGTTTATCATGAGATTTTTCCTGTAGTACCACACGGCCAATGTGACTGAAACCAGGATCACTAGCAAAATGACCACCGTGAGAACAGCAACAGCCATCATGTCCTTCGCAAATTGCCCAGATATTGTGAAATAAACTGGAGCAGTAAATTTTCCAGGGCCAGCTAAAGATTGCGATCTACAGAAACAAAAACAAATACAAATATAAAAATGATAGTTAAAATAAAACATATTTATTATTTTATGCCATAAAGAGAGGCAAGATTATAGAATCAACCTGGTCTACCTACTCTTGCTGGCTTTGTTTGTTAGTTATTTTGTGGATTATATTCTTTTGTAAGTTAGTAAATTGTTTAGGGGTGAAAGAGGATGTCGCATTTGTTTTGTCAATGTCATTTATTTTTGTAATAAACACCCACCTTAAGCGAATTTTGTATTCTCCAAATTCGAGGTCTTCAAGCATAAAAGCACCATTTTTGGCGTCTTGAACTGGGATGCATTCAGGCATTGGTTTCATCTCGTCCCTGTCAGTCCTGGTAAGCTCAATCTGGTATGAAACTGTCATACCATTTGATTTCGGCGGTACCCAATTAAGAATAGCAGTCCGGTTTTCAACCTGCACTCTCAACCCTGTGAAAAATTTCGGAATTAAACAAACCGCCAGAATCTGGTGTGTGTTAGACATTACCACCAACTATCTCATCAGCCTTGGAGTCGGAAAGTGTTTTTAGTGTAATAAAAGCCGAAATAGAGCAGTTCGCTGAACGTTGGAGTTCTCCCTCAACCCGTTCTCGGCAGGCTTTAACTTCTATAGTATAAGTTGAGAAATGTCTTAGGCCTCCAATAAGAGCGACATTGGCTTCGGCAGGGAAAATGCGGTGGAACTTGACAAGAGAACCATCTCTTCCAAGCATTTCGACGTCCTCATTTAAAACAAGGTCATCGTCCTCTTCGATCATCGAAATCCCACGTTCGTACCTCCCGATATTGTCGTTCTCATAGATTTTCAAGAATGGAGGCTGTTCAAGGGTCTCATAAACATACTTATGGCATCCGTCATATTCATACAATGGTGGTGACTTAGCAAGCTCATCTGCCGTCTCGCAAAGTTCTGTTGTAACTAAGGGTGGTTCAAACTCATCTTCTATGGGTATAGTGCTCACATTACAAACACACTCATCTTTGGTTTTCACCTATAATTTAATGATATTAAATTAAAACGATATAATTTTCTCCTTTCAAATGTGAAGAACTCACGTGTGTCATAAATTTGGGCGGTGGTGTAGTGGGTGGGATATGTACATAAGGCTTTTTGCAAAAGTTTCTTGTAGACAGAAAATCAGGGTGGTATTCCTGAATGAATCCGGACACAACATATGAAACAAGTTTTCCATTTGGTTTTTCTGGAGGACTCCAACTACAAAAAAAATGTAAAAAAGTTTACTAAAGCAGTTTATTATTTTGTCAGTACCTTTAGAAATTGAAGTAAATAGAAATTTATTTGGTTTCATCAACAATATAATTGAATTGTTATAGTTTTTGACCAAATACAGGGTGAGTGTTCTTTTTCTGTTGCCCCTACTTTTTTTTTTTTTTTGTTTATTTTTATTCAGTTAATTAATTAATATTTATGAAAGGTATTGGTCGAGATTAAAAATTCAGTGTCACGAGCGGGATTCGAACCCACGATCTTCGGCTAAATATGCCGCTGCTCTACCACATGAGCTATCGTGACCTTGATCCACTCGGACACTAACCTCACCTCTCGAATTTTCCCTCCTTTTTGCCATTTTTCAAATGTTGTGTAATCTACTTGATTCTCAGCGACAAATGAAATGGCCACGGAGAGTTTTCGTGAAGATATACTTCAGTTTAATTATTAAATCAATTACAATTCGTGGTCCATTCGAAGTCACTATAGCTCAAGCGGTAGAGCAGCGGCATATTTAGCCGAAGATCGTGGGTTCAAATCCCGCTCGTGACACTGAATTTTTAATCTCAACCAATACATTTCATACATATTAATTAACTGAAAAATGTTAATTGGTCAATCGGACCACGGATTGTAATGGATTTAATAATTAAACTGAAGTACATCTTCATGAAATTAAGTTATGTATTTTTTGAATTTTTTTGTAAAACGTTAACATATAAAGTTATATTTTTTCTAGTTTCTCATGAGTCAAAACTTTTTATCTAACTCTTCAGGATTGTGGGATACAAAAATGCCCAAATAAAAAAAGAGGGGGACAAAAGTTAAACTCGCCTTGTATTTAAATATACTACACACTAATGAAAAATAATATATAAACCGTACTGTAGTAAAATTTCTGAAGAAGAGTTCGAAATGCCTTCAAGCTTTGCAGGCATCTTTGGTTGGCTCGGAAGAGTCCTGACATACTGTATTGGTGACTGGATTCCCGTTGAGTCAACCGTATATGTTTTAACATAAAAGGCATACTGTGTGTACGGTTCCAGTCGTGTTATGATGTGGTAGATTGATCCATTAGGAGGCCCTGAAAAAAATATAAGCATTTTAGAAATTATGCAATAAAAAGAACGGACTGTTTGTCTAACCTCCATCAAAAGGTTCGTTCAGGCCACTAATGTCGTGCATCTTCCATTTAGACTCGGAGCACTCATTAGTGTTGAGCTCAGTTACATTCTGATGGGGAGCTTCCATGTAGTAGGCCACAAACCTGAAACACTTTTATTATGTTAGTTCAAGGTTAAGGAATAAATTGTTAATTAAGAAAAATTCATTACGAGGGGGGAAAATTGTTAAAAATACCTCATCATCTGATAATATTTAGCCATATTCGTGAATTCAGGCTGCTCAATTGCAAGTGCGATAGCGTTTTCATAAACAAGATGAACAGTGACGTTGAGCGATAGCTTGTTACAAGCAAACCTTCCCCCATTGCTCTCTCTTGTAATTTCTATTGTCTTGATATCTTGGATACCTGTAAATGAAGTTGTTACCATGTTTGCCATCTTATTTATTTTAAGGGAAAGTACCAGCAATGGATGTTAGTTCTTCGATGTGCTTGTAGCAGAGCATAGGGTTGTAGTGGAAGAATGGGTAACCATTCAGTATCTTGAAATTTCGCCCGGCTGGCCGTGTGTCCCAGTTCCAGATTTCTTTGAGGTTCTGGTTGTCCAGTACGAACAGCGAGTGATTCACCAAGTTGTTTGTTCCTCTACCCCATGAAAAGTAGTGTAGCATAGAATACAAGTAAAACAAGGTTAAACAAAAGTAGCATACTTTTTGTCCTTATATCCATGTATGACTTTGAGGTTTTTAAAGAAACCCAGAGAGTCCAGGGGAAAGGAATGGATAATCCTAAGGTTGCCCTCGATCTCCTCGATCATGCCGAGGTTTTCCTCGAGTTCTTTTGCCACCACCTCAGGTTTACCCGTTCCTATGTGGATCTCAAGATTTCCGTCAATGTGCGTACAGTCTCGTAGATTCTGAGCCGCCTGCAGCGAGTCGACATTCCCCATAGAGCACACTTTTTTACACATGCCTGAGCAACGTTGGCAACTTTTGCCATCTGGGGTCTTTTCAAATTTGGGAGGACATTCAGTCACACAAGAATTGCCCCAAATAAACCAGACCAAATGGGCACCATCATTCCTCCTCATTTTGTGATATGTAGAAGAGGAGTTTATGCAATCCTCCTTTGAAATGCAGTGTCGGGAGTTGAAACTGTAACTATAAAAAAACATAATATTAATTAAGCAATAATCTTTTAACATCATTTCATAATGAATTCATCAATTTTTCAAAATGGTTACAACTCAAACACAAAAAAAAAATATTCTTACTAGCCATCTGGACATTCAGGGACACATTTCCCTCTGAAATATAAGTGTCGGCATGAAACACAATTGGACGGACCACTGCCAGTGCATCCTCCAACACATTCTTGGTGGCAAGAAGATTCAGCCAAGTCCTATAAAAATCAGATGAAAGCATTAAAAAAAAATTACACAATTTGAACATGTTATGATTGTGAAAAACAAAAGGTTTGTTTGTTTTTCGACAACCAAAATAGTTCAATAATTTGAAATTTCAATGTAAAAACTGGAATTATTAAATTGTGAACCTTCGTTTTATCAGAGATGATCAACTTTTTAGTTGAACGACTAAAGTTTAATCCGGTCAAACTTTAGTCAATTAAGTATATGAGTCATTCCTTGCAATTGAAACATGACTTGGAATTTGTGAACATTTAAGTTAACTGTTTCCTGTTCAACTTTTATACTGTGTGTGATGTGCCACAATGTTTCATGCATTAGCTGAGAAATCACGCCTTTATTCTTACTAGCTTCGCCTATCCGACAATTGTCAGCATTACTTACAATCAGGGATTGGTCTGGTGATAAGTTTTATAAACAGGCATCATATTTGGTGAAATGTTGTAAGGTGATAAATCAGGAGTTTGAACAGTAATGATCATCCTAGCATGATATTCTTGCCAGATCACACATGTTTCAGTATTTTGACATTGTCAATGGTTGGTCTATGCGTTTTACCATGTGTAAGTACTTTTCTAAGGTTTATAAAACATAAATCATATTTTTGCGAAATGTATGATACAAAATGCTAAGCTATGGTCATAGGTAAACTGATTTTAATTAAACGTTTTTTGTTGAGACTACATCAAAAAATATCATACACTAATCAGAACCTTTTCAATTAATTAAGGTTTTTAGTTGAGATTAAAAAGTCAGTGTCACGAGCGGAATTCGAACCCACGACCTTCGGCTAGATACGCCGCTGCTCAACCACTTGAGCTATCGTGACCTCGATCCACATGGACACTAACTTCCCATCTCAACCCCACCTTTTGAATTTTTTATCTCAACCGAAACCTTAATTAATTGAAAAGAATTTATTTGGTGAAGTGGATCACGAAACCTATTAAAACATAAATAAAATAAATAAAAAATTAATCAGAACCTTCTTGTCACCAGGCCCTAGGAGACAAGAAAAGTATTCGTAGGTAATTTAACTAATTTTTTTAATGCAGAGTTTTGTCTTCATTGTGCGTGAAATTCAAAATTATTAGTCAATTTTTTTCCCACCTAGAATAAGAAAATAATATACAGGATCGAATTAAATGAGATTGGACACTTAAAATGTTAGAAAAACTTTAAAAAAATTGTTTTTGAAAAATAAACAATGCGTTTTTGTTTTAAGCACTCTTTGGAGCTCTTAAATAAGAATTTTTCTATTATTTTATTACGTACTAAATTGTATAGGTATTTTGTACTAAAAAAAAATATATATATATTTGTATGTACATATATATGTATGTACGTACATGTATATGCATGTATGTACATATATATGTATACGTATGTATGTACGTATGTACGTATGAACGTACGTATGTATGTACGTATGTATGTATGTATGTATGTATGCACATACATATATATATACACATATACATACATATATATATACATATGCATATAAGAATATATATACACAATATATGTATGCACATATGTATATATGTACATATATACATATACATACATACATATATACAAATATATATACATATAAGAATATATACACAATGCTTACTACATATTTAAATTAGCAGAGAAGTTTTTCTCATCTGTAGGATCATTGAGTCTATTATTTTTTGACTTAGTTTCACCAAAAAATGCTTTGTTAAATTCAGAGAACCCCCACAAATTGTGCGAGGTGATGAGTCAATAGTCTTTGGTCTGTTTTCCTTTTTTTTCAAAATTCTAATGGCTTACAAAATGCCGAATCTGACTGAAAAAAAAAAAAAAAAAAAAAAGCAGCATAACTAGAATTCTAAACTGTCATTTTATATATTTTTTATTAATTAAATTATTAATATTGAAAAACATAAGACAGCGAATTAAAATTAAAAATTAAAAAGGAAAATGGGATTATGGTGTCAAAAACTTACAACTAGTTGTTTTTTTCCTATTTTATAATATGTACATCACACTTGCGCCAGAAGAAAATGTGCTCCCCTAACCCACTGGCAACAAACTGGATACTAACAAGATAAGTCGTTTATAAAGAGTACTAATTAAATTATCATCATAATTTGTAATTAGCACTACCTTTAAGTGTAATTTATGTGTCATTCATTCATCCTTCCTCAATTAATTAAACATAAATGTCACGCCTGAGAAATTGAAAAAAAAATGAATGAAGTCGGCTGAATGAAATTTTCCAGTCTGGCAAATACTTTGATCCAGAATATCATTTTTCCGCGAGTCGTCTCGTCGTGAAACAGTTTAAAAAGAAGAGAGAAAATCAAGAAAGGAGGAAAGGATTGAAATCTTTCCCCAACTGAGATTGTCCCAACTCCGAATCTTTTTCGCGGGATGAATGCATCTCTTATTCGGGCCGAGTACCGTCCCCAAAAGTTTGAGAAAAAAGAAAAGCGACTGGCATGTGAAACGGGCCTAAGAAATTCACCATGTCTCTCTGCATCCAATCGTGTAATTAATTGGATCTTACTTGGGGAAATCAAGGCAATTTATTAGTACTCAAAATAATAATGATTAAGATTTTTTTCAATACATACATAACGGGACATTTACGCTTTCGGGGTTTAGGTCGGCCCTTCACTATCTAATCTCGGTAAATCGTTAAGATAATAACCCAAATTTTGACATAACAGTCTTGTCACGACTAGACTAGACTGTTTCTAACTAAATGTGTACGTTTCTGTTTTCAATGCGTTCATAGTTGGTGTTTCTCTCCTTCTATTTCCACTCTTTGTTGAATAATTTAAAAAACAAACCAAATACACCTACAACAAGATAAAAGTCAACAAAAATTGAAAACTTGCCAGCCACCGTAGGTAATGTTAAAATTGCTCTGACATACCAGTTGGCAGTTCTTCTCAGACCAGCAGAGGCCATCTGAGCAGGAGGGGCAGGAGCAATTTTTCTCGGTATCATTCGGGAAAAGATATTCACGAACACCTGAGACTGCCACTTTGTCCCAGTCGATTGTGTTATCGTAGCATAGATCTGGAAAACAAAGAAACAACTGTGAACAGATTTGTATGCTTTTTAACAATTATTATTACACATTATCTTGTTACTGACCACTTAATCATAATTTCACCAGAACGATCAACTTAGATTTACAACATTTCACCAGTAACTCACTCTCTAAATGCCTGGCTTCTCTTACCTAATTTATACGCTCAACTACGTAAAAATCTTATGCTCCAGTTTATCAAGATAATTTTGATGATACATTTATTATAAATATTTCGTGAATAACCGTTTCCTGGCAGCTTGTAAGCTACGCTTCTTCACTTAAAAATTTTTGTCTTTCCTCCTTCCAAACGCTAATTTTCCGTAATTTATATATGTACTGTGTGTATGTCACCCATATGTACCTTTTTCTCCCATTCACTCACACTCACTCTCTCTCACTCTCTCCACGCACACACGCACAGAGAGAGAGAGAGAGAGAGGAAAAAAAGAGAGAGAGAGAGAGAGGGAAAAAAGAGAGAGAGAGAGAGACAGAGAGAGAGACATACATACATACACATACATACAGAGAGAGAGAGAGAGAGAGGAGAGAGAGAGGGAGTGGGGGAGAGGGAGAGAGAGAGAGAGAGGGAGAGAGAGAGAGAGGGAGAGAGAGACAGACAGACAGAGAGACAGAAATAAATAGGGAGATAGTTAAATAGATAAATAGGAATATAAACAGATACATAGAAAGATCGATAGAAAGTGAGAGAGGGACAANACACACACACACACACACACACACACACACACACACACACACACACACACACACACACACACACACACATCAAATACATACATCGATCTCTGCTTAATTCATTCAATTAATTACACACTTATTCACTGTCCAAACCAACACATACTAATCATCACTTATTCATTCACATGCACATTTACCGCGATCCTGGTTGCGTGGAAATACCCCCATCCAGGCAATATTGGCTCCCTTCAAACTATACTATTCTAACAAACCTAATATTGTGGCAAACCTCGAATTTAACATTAAGTTTTGTAGTTTATATAGTTTTGAGCAATAATATGCATTGTTATTAAAATACGTTCAGCGGGCCTACATTGATTTTTATTCATTTAAAAGGTTTTTCCTAATTAATAATTGACGTAAATCTGGTTGATCACGGTTACGTTTCTTAATGATGAATGGCCTCCCCCTCTTCAATCCTTTGTTTATGTAAGCTTTTAGCATTTGCGGATCGCTCTTCACTCCTGGTATCCAGACGACCGACCGGTGGTAAAAATAGCTCGGGAAATAAGTTTTAATTGAGCCCGAGCTTTTAAATGAATGGAAGTTGTATGCCGGGACGGAATTGGAATCGATCTCCGTCCCGCTGCCGGCATGAATGATTCAAAAGTATTTATCCTTATTCTATTTGAGACAAGAGCCAATTCTCAAGATAGGCTGAAGATACAACGTTCCTTCCAAAATCCAGAGCCGAGATTAAACTACATAAAAATTAGACGCTTCCCCCCTAACAAAATTAAAAAAAAAAATAGTTCAAACATGTAGAAAAAGATAAATAATATTAATTAATATATTTTTTCATTAAACTATACACTAATAAATATATAAACTTCAGAATATGTTTAAACCATCGATCCCAAAATGTTATGTGAACCGGAAGTACCCGTCCTGCAAACGACATCACGGTCGTTGAACATGTTTGTCGATTTAATCCAGTTGTGAACCCACACCAGTTTTACATAATTGATCGCATAATTTAGAGGTTAACAGGCCCTTGAAAAAGGCAAGGTTTTTTTAATGTCATAGAAGAAATTCGGCGAATAAATATTGACTTAAATGTCAAAAAGAGACAGGAGGAAATACCAGGGGTTCCTCAACCGATGACTTGCCAGCCTGCAAGAGTGCCAGTTGGTTAACAACTTTAGTTTTAACAAAGCCAGGTTTATTTACATATTCTAGATTATTTATGATTATGGATGAATATGACTTATAAAATTTCATTAATCGATAAGAGTGGTGATTAGTGACCGTTAATCGATGATTATTCGGAAATCGTGAGATGCGGTCTGGTGTGATGTAAGTTTCAGAAAAACATTTTCTTTATCGTGGCAACGTTTCGGGCTTTATTGAGATCATCTTCAGGGTCTGGGATTTACAAACATTGTTTAAATTTAACAAATACATGTTGGATGTGGAAAAAAGTGAATTTCACTTCAGTAAATATTAAATAACTTAATTTCGTATTTTATGATCATCCTGGTCCGCCTAACGTCGCTGTTTCGGTCTGTCGGAAACTTTTAGGCTTACCGCCATTTACAGTGATCTTTTTTTGTAACTAGCCAAAATACAAGTTCATTATCCGGCAAGATGTCAAGAAGAAAAATCATTATTCAATTATTAGTTAGATCGTTTACGATCATCCTAGCCCGCTTATAGTCGCTGTTTTGGTATGTCAGATGCGTTTCGGCTTCTCGCCATATTCAGTGATATTTGCTTAAACAGTAAAAAAATTAAAGATTGCTTATACGGCAAGACTTCGCGAAGATATAGTCTCATAGTTTAATTATTACTTCAGTCGTTTACGATCATCATGATCCGCCTGTATTCGCTGTTTTTGGTCCGTCAGCCGTTCGGCTTCCCCCGTCTAGTGGGTTTGTGTAAACGGCCAAAATGAAGGGCTCATTATCCGGCAAGAGGTAGAGAAGAAACGTCATTATTTAATTATTACTTTGGTAGTTTACGATCATCCTGGACCGCCTGTTTTGTCCCACGGCCGAACCAAAATGATCGGTACCGACCAAATTACATTTCCACCCACTCAGATCCCAAGCGGAAATCACACACCGAATCTTTTTAATTGTTTTTTAGATTTACTGCCGATTTCGCGATTCTATTTAAATTACCATTATTCCAAGGGTAAATTTCCACTCCATGACTTCAACGTGCAATTTAATTGAATTCATTTCCTTACTATAAATAAAGATTATCAACAGATAAACCGGGTTAACACCCTGAGCACAAAGCAAAAACGGCGAGGGTAAAAGACGTCACTGAAACTGTTTCTTAAATATCCATATTTCCAAGAAAGAGGCGATCTGCCGTATAAATTAATTATCAACGCTTCTCTTTGCTAATTGCCAATTAGTTTACCTGTGTTCAAAATTCTCCATGTGAACGTTATATAAAGCGGTGGTAATTGTTTTATCCAACGAGATGTTCTATAGCAGGGGTGCTCAAACTTGAACTGCTGGCGATCTACCTCAATATTTTTAGACTANTCAAAAAGCACTCGCGATCGACTGGTCGATCGCGATCGACCGTTTGAGCACCCCTGTTCTATAGTTTTAGATTCTAAACCAACAACGCATGTTCTTTTGTTTCTGCTGTCAAACCCTGGCCTATAACTTTTAATTATTCATAAACAAAAGATAAATATTGATTAATAATATTAGATTATCTTTCAAATATATATAAATTATCCCTTTATAACTTTACTATTATATAACTCAAATAATTAACCAATGTCTCATGATTACGACTGCTCAGGCTCATTTTTTCAATCTTTTAACCACTCTAATTACAAGAATTAACCAACCGGCTTAATGATCCCTGAGAGATAGACCTTAACAAACATTAAATATGTCGATACAAGAACATATACTTTAAGAGGATTAAGGCACAAAAGGACTCGCGTTTCCTTATTGTAATTAATTGCCTTTGAGCATATTCACGTAACGGGATACGAAAATTTTATAAATGATTTACCTGGGAAGGAAAATAACACGTGAATCGATACCACACAAGTTTTCATAAAAATATTCGAGAAAGGGGTCGCTTAATTAGGATGTGTGGTGACTGCCCGTTAATCGATATTTCTTTAGAAATCGTGAGATGCGGTCTGGTGTGATGTAGGTTTCAGAAAAGCATTTTCTTTATCGTGCCACGTTTCGATCTTTATTGAGATCATCTTCATGGCTCAAAGTGTTTTTCTTCTGTGTATTTGTGCCATTCTTGCTTATCGTGTCGAGAGTGTCGAGTTAATTAGGATGGTACGACTATACAATAAGAATTTAAAAACAAACAATAACGGGGGACGGAAATTATGACTAAAGCGTAGGATTAAAACGGATTAACACGGATTAAAAACCATCCGTGAATGCACACTGCTTTACTAAACTTACAAAATTTGACACAAAAATTTCTTTTTTTTAAACTCAGCAAATTGTAATAAAAGTTCCACTAGTCTCAAGATAAGGATGTTTTGATATTTTATCGTTTTTGGTCGTTTATTTCGTGGAACGACGCTGAGGAAGTTTTTCCGGAAAAACTTTAAATGACACATTCATTAATTTTTTTTAACTTCACTATCGATTTATTTTTATAAAACCAGGGTTAAATTGTTGATGGTGGTGGTGGTTATGCCGACAACCCACAACGCAACCCGGGTGTCGGTAAGCGTCAGCTGCTCAAAGTGGAAAGCCTGTAAAGTTGCCCTATTCATGTGATTTATACCTTCGAAAATGACCATGGCAGGTATTTCCCAGTGAATTCCGATGGCAATCTGAACACAGGAATTTTTTAAAAACTTCAAAAAAATTAGAAACGGTCAAAAATTCAAAGGAACCCGACATACTTACAAATGGGCTTTTTTTCAAAAACACCGGCACTCTGAGGGTTTATGACTTCTGCTGTTGCGAACCCTTTACCCTCGTAAAAAATAAATAAAATATATATAAAAAAATCCAAAGGTCGAAAAATAGTAAATTCGTGTCAATACGTTATTGCCTAGCACGTTCGCACTGATTTGTAAAGACACCTCCGAAATGCTGATTTTTTTACAATTTTGAAATCTATTTAGTTCATAAATGACCTTTAATTAAAATTTTCCTTAAAAGCTTGCCTTTTTAGATTTTTGGGCACGTCTGTTTGCTGGAACGACGACCTCATGTGGGGAAAGTCAGATTAGGCAAACCAGCTAAATCTACTGTATTTAATATTATTAAAT